AAAAATGACATTTTGTTTTGCAAAACCAAAACGTGTGCATAGTGGTGGTTCATTGGAGATTTTTTTTTGAAAAAATCAAAATTTAACCCAGGCAGGATGACAAGGGATGAAAATCGATCAATAAAAACTAAACTAAACAATGGTGGTGTGTGACATTCATCGTTTTGCCGCATCATTTTTTTGTTTTGTTGGTTGATGGAAATGGCCATTCTTTTTTTTTAAAAAAAAGGCGATGTGAAAACATCGGTTAACATCGATTAAATGTTGGTGTGATGAACACTTTTGTTTTTTTGATCATGATGATGTTAATGATGATGTGACTGGAAATGAAACCAAGGAAAAAATTTTCGAAAAAGTTTTTTTTGGAAAAAAAATTGCCGGAAATTTCCTTTACATTGTTTTTTTGCTCTCATTTTATTCTAAATTGACAAATATCAATTTTGGCTGGTTCCAAAATTGAATGAATGAAAAAAATTAGTCTGATCATTCATTTAGCATTGAAGAAGAAGGAAAAAATAAAACGGGCAAACAATGGAAATGAATTGAATTGAATCGAATGCTGAAAAAACTGAAAAAAGCCACAAATGAAAATGATTTTCATTTGAGAAAATGGTAAAGAAGAAGAAGAAAAAGAATAAGAGAAAACGAATTGGTTGAATGAATATTTCAATATTTCATTTGGGAAAAAATTTTTTGTTGCGCACACAAAGAATTTGAATTGACAAAGAATTAATTCTCCAGAAAAATACCCCGAAAAAAACTTCAATTCATTCAATTCAATTCAATTTGAATAGAGAACGGACAATTGAGAAATATTTCCGAAAATATTTTGCAATTTTCTCTCTCTTTCTCTCTCTATGTGAATGGGTTATATAATTCGATTGAATTAGTCATGATGCTAACGATGATAATGATGATATTACCAAAAAAAAAAAAAAATTGTCATGAAAAGAAAATAATAATAAACGATTGTCAATGAAATTCAGTGAAAAAAAAATACTCATTGAAATAATTGAGATAAGAAGGAGAAAAGAAAAGGGTTGATGAAAAAAGAAGAAATGAAATCATCAACAATTTGAATGAATGAATGAATGAATGAATGAAAAGAAAAAGAAAGAGAAAAAAAACGTTGCTGGAAAGTTTCTCCGGGAAATTTTCCCGGAATAATTGATTTTTGAAAGAAAAAAAACATTGTCATCATCATAGAATCAATTAGATGGATTAACGGGGGAAAAAAAATACTTTTATTCAATCATTACCATTACCATTATCATCATTATTGTCAAATAAAATGATGACAAGAATTTTATCATACAGAATCTCCAGAATCTTGAAATAGAAACCACAACAACAACAACAAATGGGGACAACAACAACAACAACAACAACGAAAAGAACAGAGAAAACAAAAACAAATTTGAAAACAAATTTGAAATCGGTTTCTTTCGTAAACTTTCTCTCGATTACTTATCTAAATCGGTATTCACTTTATCTGTATATTCTATTTCGACTGTTTGTTTTGATTTAATTTAATGAAATTTCTATTTACAGAATCCAGAATACAGAATTCTTCCTACATTTTTGTTTGGTTTTCGGTTGTTGTTGTTGTTGTTGTTTCAATTTTGAGGGAAGAAAGAAATTCCAAATTTCCATTACCGAAAACTATTACCGCGAATGAAAAGTATCTTTTTTTTCAAGCTAAACAACAACAACAACAACCATCATCATCATCATCATCATAATGGAATAGATTAACTCACTTACTCTGACTATGTCTGCCAATTTGATTTTCTTTGATTTTTTCAGAAACAAAAAAAAAGAAAAAAAAACTTGGAGAAAAAAAACATTGAGAATGAATAAAGAACGAAAAAACAGCTACATTCTGGGAAAATTTCCAGGGAAAAAAAACTTGAATAAAAAATAAAGATGAATGGTCCCTTGTGTGAATAGTATAGAAATGTTGAAACTCAATTGGAGAAAAACTTAAGAAAGTCAGACAAAGACAGGGGAGAAAAAAAAACACATACTTTCACTTTTTTGGGATAATTTTTTTACATCAATATCACAATATCGACCACCAAACCAATATTATTTATAACCGATTATCATCGCGACCAAACTCAATCAGTTTTTTGCTGAAAAAATTCATTGATGTAATCAAATCAAAAGAATAAATAATGATATACATTCCTGCATTCAATGAATCTGAGAAACTTTATCATCATTATGATTGATAGATTTTTCATAATTTTTTTCCGGAATTTTCCGAAATTTCTTTTTTCTGAAAATAACCAAGTGGAAATCAAATGAATCGATGGACCAAAAATGAAATGATAATTTGAAAATTGATTTCGTTTCGTTTTTGGATCTTCGAGAGATAAAGAGATCATATTTCATATATATATTCAATTTTCGTTTTCAATTTCAATCAATATTGAAGTAATCGAAGAAAAAATTGATATTTTTCGAAGCTTAAAATTGGAAATTCAATGAAAATTTTTTTTCCAATTAGATAATCATGGTAATTTTCCACGGAAAATTTCCTTTTAAAAAATCTTTCCCGAAAACTTTCCCAGGAAAATAAATTTTCAAGAATTAATCATTTCATTTTGTTTCAATCAATTCCATACATCATCATCATCATCATCATGTGATGTATTTCATCATCATCATCATCAAATAACTTTTACGGGAATTTTCTTTTTTTTTCATTTCAGAATTTATTTTATTTTTGGTAAAGTTTTTTGAAAAATAAAAGATCAAACAAAAATAAATGAAATGATGAAAACTTTTCCGCTTTAATATTATTTACTTTTTTTGTTTCTTCGAAAGTTTAAGAATGATAATATTATTATCGGCTTTCCGAAAAATTTCTCTTTACTTTTTGTTCTTAATAACTAACTTAATTTTTTTTTTGTTGTTTCAAAAAAAAATTTGAACAAATATCTTTAACTAACTAAGAAAAATTTCTGTAAACATTTTTTTTGGCT